CCAAGTGCACAGGCGAGGGGGAGCCCAGCAGTTATCAGTCAGGCGGCCTCCTGGCACCTTATCCCCGCACACGGCTGTTGCTCTGACAGCTGAGTCGGCAGTTTCCTCAGACCCAGGGGCTTCTGGGAGGCTGTGCTCCGGCCAGGGATCCGGACATGGGCGCCTCCTGCCTCCAGGCTGCACCTTCGTCCCAGCTCTTCTGTGACAAAAGAGTCAGGAGGCCTGGGAGACGCAGGTCCCCTCACCCCTCCTGTCTGCCCCTTAGTCTCTCTTGACCTTAGACAACTTACCTAACCTGTCTTAGCCTCAGTTTCCCCATCTGTAAGCTTCAAGTGATAAAAATCTGCTTTCAGCATTATTGAGAGATTTAGGGCAGTTTCCACAAGAGTCACTGTGTTCGTTTCCCAAACTTGCCTGGCCATCAGGGTCCCCGACTCAGCTGAGGCCAGAGCACCAAGGAAGGTGAGGGAATTGGTGTTTTCAGCCAGCCCCCGGGGGCCCTCTGATCAACAGGATTGGGGAAACACCTGCTAAGTGGTTGCGGCAAGACCCTCCCGGTTTCCAAGCCCGGCTGCTGACGCGCCAGCCCGCCAGGTGCATGGCCTCTCGGCACGTTGGCCAGCGCCGGGACTTCTGTTTCTGGGCGGCCTGATTAACTCCTCCAGTCCGGAGCCCCCCACACGTGGGAGGAACCCCCGGCGGCCTCCTTTGGGAGCGGGGTCCCTGCAGGCCCTGCCGCTCCCCAACACCCCACCACCGTCCGCCCGGAGCCCATCCTCCGGTTTTCACCCCAAGCCTCCTGGCTCCCTCCCACCCGCACCTGCAGTGCCTCCCACTCACCACTGAGCCGGCATCCACATGCCTTTGTATTGTTCCCTAAGTGGAACTGTCCTCCCCAAAATGAGTCATGGCCGTGCCTGAAAGGACTGAAGACAACGTCCATCAGGTTGGAAGGCGTTTCCGAGAAGGCTGTTAGAGTGATGCAGGTGTGGGTTTTCTGTGCGTGGCATCCAGGTCACAGCAATGAAATAAGCTCAGGGCCCCAGATGTGGCCACGGGAAGGGCTGGTTCTCATCAAACACAGGTGTTCTGAGGGGCCATTCGAGTGCCCAAAACCGTGTGAAGGAACACGAATGTCAGCCGCAGCCCACTTGAGCGGAGAGGTCTGGCCACCCAAACGTGGGGACAGGCAGAGTAGGTGTCCAGGGGAGGTGTCCGGCCCCCAGAGCACAGGCCCTGGGGTGTGAGAGCGGCAGGGGACCCTGGAGTGTTTACAGGAGGCAGTTCCCGTG